TTATATCTTTAACCCTTGCCATTCCACCACTCACGCAAACTGTGGAATGACTGTCCAAACCTTTAGTAACTTTGATCATCTGAATCAAGCATCCCCCTCCCTAAAACTTCTTTATGGTCCAAATAAAAAAGGACTAAAACTAAGTCTCTTCTCCTTAGGCTCAGATTACAGATTAGGTTTTTGTGGACCTGGTACCAAGATGATTTGTAGGTTCTCATGTTCTGTTACTTCCCCCATATTATGTTTTTCACAACTTCAGTAATTGAACAAAAAAAAAAAACATTATGAGCCCCTCTGATTGTGTGGACATGGTACCCATGTAATTCTTGGGCCTGCTTCTCCTAGCTTAAATTACTTAAACCAAGTATCATTATAGTATTCCATCTGTGCACTCTTTCTATCATGTTGATATTCATACATTGCTTAAATGAAGCCTCACCAGTTTTTCACAAAATGACATAATTTATAGAAAGCAAGGGATTATTTGTTCCCTCAGGGCTGTCATTGCACAACCATCCTTGGGAAAGGTAAAAATTTAAATCTATCATTTACTTTATAGGAAAGCATTTATTCCATTCTTAAACTTTTTACTCCAGTGAAATGTGTGTCTTCACTACTGGAAAAGGCAACTTGTTTCAAGAGTCAATCATACTGTTATAAAAGTAAAATTGTCTGTCTTTACTGAGGCCTAGCCTGTCTTTTTTTTTGTAATCTTTAATTTGTGCCCTCTCATCCTATTATCTTCAAAATATAGCACAAAGAAATCAGAGGTTCAGTAAAATTGCCTCTTACCCTTCTTTTCTCAAAATAAAATAATGAATTTTAATCTCCACATAAGATAACTTTTCCATCCCTTGAGTCATCCTATTCCTAGTCGTACTCTGAATCTTTTCCCTTAAGTCAATTTTTTTTCTTAGATAAATAGACCAAAACTATTCAGTTTTCCTAGTGAAACCTAAGTAGTGATTTGTGTAGATATAACAATACCTCTTTTTCACTTGTAATCAGTATGTCTATAAAAACACTAAAATTCTGTTGGTTTTACTATTAGCAACAGAGCACTGTCGTCATGGCTTGAGTGACTTATCCCTGACTGTACCAAGATCCTTATCTTTAGTCATGCTATTAGATCTTGGCGATTAGTTGTGTTTGCTAATCAATTAATTAATGGCTGCATTAACTGATTAGAACAGTGTTCCTCAAACCATGGTATATACAAGAAAGAAAAAAAAAATGTTGGGTGCTGACAGACAATTGCCTTCCCTCTAGTCAGCAGGTCAAAATTAGTGACTGTAGCAGATAACCACAGTAGCTTTGCAATAGAGACAGGACTAGCAATTTGGTAGCAGTGGGAATTGAATCTGAGACCAATGAACCTTGAGACTTCCACTCTCACTGAATCACCAAAACTGAAATTTGAATAAAAAGATAACTTCTAAGGTTAAAATTGGACAGAGCACAGATAGCCTATTATCTAGCATTGCTTAACAACAAACTAAGGTAATAGGAATATTTCAATTAGTTAGATAGTTGGAATAATCAGAAACCCCGATTTCAATTATTTAATTGTTTTTTGTTGATTTAGGTATGATTTTAATTAATCAGTTGTTGGAATAATTGAAACCAGTAATAATCATAAACACTAATATTGATTAATTGTCTAGTTTGTGGAATACTAATCAATGTTATTACTGCTCTTATGTAATTGATTAAGTTATCCATTTATACACACTGTTCAGTTGATTCCCATCTATATTAAATGTATGATAAAAATTATAATAACCCAAGTGCATTATTTTTCATTTACTATGATTAAAAGCTTTTTGCCAAATATTTGTCCAACTTATCAATAACCAAATTATTCTTGCAACTGTTCTGCACATCCAATCCATTTCTATCCCAAAGTGCCTAAAGGAGTTTTGTATATTTGTTAAGCAGCCCTTCTAATTTACATTTTGCAACATTATATACTCCTGCAAGTTCTTTAAAAGGTGAATGCTCGTTAGTACCAGCAACTAAATTGTCAACATGTATTATAGTGCCTTGTATTTTAGCACTTGACAAGCAAACCTTAGTCCTAGTCTTTCTGTGCTTCCCACAACAAAAAATTTGATCAATATGGTTAAGGAGACTTCCCTACCATCCAAGTCCTCTTAATCATCTCTGTGTTGAAGACAGCTAGTGGGTTAGATCTATTAGAGAATGGCACCTGAACGTGTATCTCTAGGTTTAAACTTTTTAGTACTGTGCACCCTTGTAAACCCATCATCTGTATTCTCATCCTCCCCCAAAGCAACGTTTATTTGAATTCTGTCCAATTCTTTTCTTGCTTTAATGCTCCCAACCTACTACTTTCACCTTTTAATATCACAATCTTCCCCAAAGCTATATCAAACTTATCCTCAAGTACGCAAGTCCCGAAATAACTTTTTTTCTTTCTTAAATTCATGTAAAGGAACAAGGTCTCGTTTTGATCTTTCAACCATGATAAGCAATTACCAGAAGATTTTGTTTTTATCAATTGTCCACAACATTCTTTCTCTTGTCAACAACTCAGTTTCTCTTGTACAGGAAGTCCTTTTCAAATTTCTGTATCCCAAACAACATAATTTTACCCTTTACTTTTTTTTTAATAAACCTCTTCCAGGCAAACTTGATGTTCCGAGCGACCATTTTCCTAATCCTTCTTAGCCTAAACAGTAGTTTCTTGACATCTTTTTTGCTTATTTTAGGGTCAGGTGTGGCATACAGCAGTGATTAATGTGCTAGGTTGCAGATCAGAAGGTTCAAGGTTTGAGCTGCACACTACTCCCTATCATGTGTGGAGACATTATTACAAATAGTCAGTCTTACAGTTCAGTTAGGACTAGATGCACAAAAACTGATGGCTGCTGCAGACTAGTTAACCTCCTTCTGTCTTAACTTCTGGGGGGGGTCTATCCTGGCCTTAGCCCTTGTTTTTGGATAAAGTGCTTTTTGGGATAATACAAATATTACAGTTTGTTTCAGAATTTTCAAAATCCTTCATTCTTCTAGTAAAAGTTATATTCTTGTAAATTACACATTTACATATATATAGATATTTAATCCTCCTCTAAAACCATTTGAGAAAAAGCCTTTCATTGCAAACACAGAAATTTGGTATGAATACATTATTTTTCACTTATTTGGTTGAACTTAACAGCAAAAAACATCATCAAGTTCTTTTTTTTTAATAATTAAATCTGCCAGTCATTCTTTCTCTCAAAACATCTTGCATTGTAGCTAGTTTTGGTAAAGTTATAATTTCTTGTACCGTAATTTTCTGAATATAATACACACACTAATATTCAGGAACAAAGAGTCAACTTTGTCTTATCACTATAAATAATATGCACTTAGACTTTACAATAATGTGGAAAAAGTACCCTTTTGATGACAAGAATGTTAGAGTGTTCATATAATATAATTGCACATTCACTGTAGTGCTTGCTATCTTTGCAGTTGTGGCCTGCAACTGAACATTGTCAAAATGTTAGAGAGAGTATCCGTAAAATTGTTAAAAGTGAGTTTGCCTTAGTACTTGCTGTATTTTTAATGATGGTCAATAAATAATCATTCTTTACTGCTGGTATTCAGTAGTCGTGGTCCTCTGTAACTCTTCAATAGCTTTGCTAATATGTGGTGTGTGTAGTTTGTTCTAAAACATTTTCTTCCTGTGTGTATGTAAAAATGGCAATTTTGATTTTATAATACCAATTTAAAAATACACCATGAAGTCAAAGCCTTTCACAACAAGACTGTATTGGCTGATTACAGTCAAATACTGACACTTTGTTCAGTACTTAAAGAGGAGGGGATGACAAAGATGAAAATGATGTCCGCAGAGATGCCATTTATGGATTAGTTGTGCTAACTGTTCAAGGACAATGATTTGGACTCAGAGTTTGAAGGTTTTACTGAAAACTACTTGTAGTTTTGAATATCAAATGCAACATAGCAATAACTAGTTATATATATATATATATATATATATTTCTAAACATTTCTAAGTGTGCATGTAGTTAAGGCTTAAAAATCATAAGACTTCTCAATTATTTTATTTCCAAAATTATGTTTTAAAAAATACTGAAAATGAATGAAAATGGGAGACAATTCTCATTTGTACCTTAGAAAATAAGAATTAATAAGACATACCATTGAAACATAATATTTCTACTAAGTATGCATTATTGTTTACAACATGTATCAGAAAAGATCATGACTGGTTGAAAAAAAAATTAGATTTTTGACTATATGTTATATGCACTGACTTGTAGATACATTTTTTAGTGAAAACAAATGTGTATTCAGAAAATTATGGTACTCAAGTTCTTTTATACTTTCATTTTCAGTGTTGAGAACAAGGATAAAAATAGCATTTTTCCTAAAAAGATCTTTCACATTTCGTGCAAAAGCTTTCCCAGCCAATTTCCATAAAATTGGATCTCCAATCAAAATAATGTTTCTAGTGACAGTGTAATAACTAATCTGTGTATGTGTGTATATATATATATATATGTATATATATATAATTTTACTATTCTACTTTTACATTGTAAGCTATTGTGTTATTAACCACTTCTGATAAAAAAAAAATCTAAGTGCAGAACATAGAAAGTGTACATTAATGTAGCTAATTCTATACAGTATACATTGCAGTGTACCAGAAAGTTGTTTCAGTGTTGTTAGTGAACATAGGTATTTCTTTGTGTGCATTGCTGGATTTTTATAGTTAAAATGTTTTTGAGAAGTATGTTAGGTGTTAATTTTTTGTGCTGTGATGAGATGCTGGAATTTTAGATTCATACAGTGAATGATATATTAGACATCTCTGCATCTTATAGAATGGTCAGTTGATACTTGTCATAAGATGTGTCTGGCAAATTTGGTAGTTTTGATAGCTGAATTTTCTTTTATACAATAGCTGGCTTCAATACAAAGACCAATGTATTGTCCACTTCTGTATTCCAGACAGATGAAGGCCTTGTAAATTTAAAATTCATGAACATATAAATCAATGAAATTAAATCACTTCTTTTACAACTGTTATAGTGGAAAGTAAAAGTTTATTAGTATTGCAGAATGCATTAGCTTTATATGAACTAACTTCTTTATATGATCTTTAGTTAAAAGATAAATAGTTTCGTCACAATTATACCAGTAGCTTTTTATATCACGACACTTATAAGATAGTTCAATCATGACGATAAATATATCAGTGCAAATGTTCCTTAATTTCCAATTAAACAATTTGAGTGAGCACAAACACTTGATTAATACAAACTTATTAGACATCTTTTCACTTCAGTATTACATGTTTAATTAGTTAACGTAGGTTAAACATTAAGTACAGGTTGTAGTGATTCTTAAAAACAGTACCATACATTAACCATACCTCTTCCTTCAGCCATGCTATAACTAATAGTTATAACTATACTATAACTAATAGTATTCTTGCCAAGAGATACAGCACCAACTTTTGTATTTAATCATCAACTGAAAAGAATTAAATCGATTTATAATTTTTAAAATACAAAATATTATAAGCAAAAAAATACATGAAATATTATTAAGGGTGAAACTTTAACAAACAGTTTTATGCCCTTTTGACTAGTAATTAGAAAATAATAAAAAACTACAAAAGCTAGTACATGTAACATGCTTGCTAAACCATGTTGTGGGAGAAAAAGAATATGGTTAATTGTTTAACTGTAATTTATTAATCAGTGAGAATAAGATATTTTTCAACTTTGCTGTAATAAAGATGAAATTTAAATTGTTGTGAAAGTTACTTTTATTTTTGTATACTAAAAAAGGGGTGTTGAAAGCACAGATGCAATAATACATTTTTTTTTACATTACACCCACTTTTGAAATGGATTGATAAAATTGTGTATTTTCTTTAAATGAAATTGTAGTTTGAAAAGTTCTTAATTTTTTAAGTCACTACAGTGTGGCTAAATAAGCAAATCTTTTTTAAATTGTCTCCATTTCAGCTGATATGTTTCATTTATTCTAATTTAAATCTATAACAATAAGCTTGCTGTAATACCTTTTTTCAGATAATTAGAAAATATATTAGATCCAAAGAGTTCTGTGGAGAAGACCATTATCTAATTGTTTTCTTAGCATGTGCTGATATTGTAATAACTATTTGATGAATAGTGTACTCAGGATAATTATATTCTTTGGGTAGGTAGGGTGTGAAACACTTCATTGAAATACCTAACTGAACTGTCTATATGCTGAACTTGCAGGACGGAACAGACGATATCACCAAAATGCCCGACAGTGATATAGATTCAAAGGTAGGAGTAATATGTAAACCATTATGGTATTAATTTGTCCTTACATTTTCATGTATTTTTATATCAGTTTTGAATTCTGATAGTAATGAAAGAACTTGTGTGATGATAATAACAAAGTTCATAATTTTAAAGCTTTTTATTATTATTCTTATAATACAGTTTATGCAGCAACAAATTTCTGAACAATATGTAAAAAGGAAAAATGTGTACCATACGTTACATTTGGAATAATTGTATATAAGAATACATGTGAACAATTCTTTGAATTAATGTTTTGGAAGGGAAAAAATAAGTTACCAAACTACTATTGCAATTTGAATGTTCAAATTTTGAAACAGAAAAAAATAAAATTTGAAAATGAGAAGCAAATGCAGAAAGTTTCCAAGAACAAAGTCTGATCATTAGCTGTATGGAGATACATATATGCATAATTGGTTATTAAGCATTTTATAATTATTATAATTCAAATCAGGTAGACTTACCTCTGAAAACACTGAAAGTCTTATTGGCTTTATGCTCATGATTTCTCCAAATGTGACTCAGATTTCCAAATGTTCTTTATGCATTGTAGAACATGCTTGAATTACCCATAATTTTCCACTCTCCCACTTTCCATGTGACTTATTGCAAAAGTGTCTGGGAGTCTTATATAAGCTCTGCTTTCCTTGCATAATTTATATTTAGTTGTTGACTGTTGTGCTATTAACTTTGTTATAATGTTCTTGTAGGTGCAACTATTTCTGTCATTATGAGAATTTTTATAATTTACTTTGTGGTCTTACTTACACAATTTGCCTTTAACAGGATAAATGTTAGATGTATTGTAAGTACTAATTGTTCATTGTATTACTGCTATTGTATACTGGTATTACTGTCATGTATCATGATCATATGGACACTAAATTTGTGTCACCCTAAACATTTTCTTCTTCTTTTAATGAAAGTCAATCATTTGCTCAGGCCTAATTGTCTTCTGTCTACAGAGCTGGATTTATCTGCTTTAGTGCTAGCCCTAATCCTGACAGTGCTTCTGCTGGTCTCATTTTTTTCTCCTTATGAATGTTATATTTTCAGTATTGAGTCTATTTCTTTTTTTTGAAATTTTGCTGCCATTTCCAACAGTTTAACCTTCTCTTTATCTATTGTCTCTACTTTAATTATGATAGCCTCCAACTTCTCCTCCAACCTACAAACTTTACATACAAATTGCACATCTTCACTGCTAGCTTCCTTAAATAAACGTACATACCAGTTTCGAGTTCCCAATTAAAACCCAGTCATTTCACCCATCACACCTAACAAACTGTGAATGCTTAATTCCTACACTAGTCTTAACCATTGTATTTGTAGTCTAGGAATAAATACTCACCTTAAAGTACTGATATAATCTCACACGACAAAGGCACCCTAAGGTACTGAACTTCAGCTTTTACATGCAAAGGATACATCAGCTAACTTTCAGGAAGTTAGAAACAGTACTATTAAGGCTAAAAGTAGTGGATTTAGTTATAATGAGTCTATTCTATTGAGCAACAGATTTCAGCCCTATGCTTGTGCAGATGGAGAACTATTGGATGGAAGGAAAACAAAAGAGACAAAGAAGGATGTGGATGATAAGGAGGTCATAGTTATAGGTACTTCTTTGACAAGGCATGTTGATAGGATAGTCTGTGGGGTAAATATTGAGAAAAGAATAAGATTATGCTACCTAGGGGCACAGGTGGAGGATATAACTGATGCATTTTTTTGTTGTGCACATAGGGGCTAATGATGTAGTGAAAGGTAGGGCAGAAGAGCTAATTAATAAGTACAAGGAGTTAATAAAGACATTTTACAAGAAAGGCCATAACTTGTGTCAGAGACACTGCCAAGAATTAACTATAGGGATGAAATTATAAGTAGGTTACTAGGGCAAAATGCTAGGCTTAGGTTAATATGTAAGGATGAGCAGATTGGCTGGTTGGATTTAAAAATATGATGTAGAGAAAAGTTTAGCATTGGAAATGAGTATAGAAATAGTTCTAAGGGTAGGCTTAATTGTTACTATTTTAGTGCTAGAAGTATAAGAAATATAATAAATGACCTTCGAGCACTGGTAGGAATGGAGGATTTTATATAATGGGAATATCTGAAACATGATTAAATGTAGAAGATTTTGATGACAGAAATACAGGGTTATAGGTTAACAACAGAGTTAGAGTACTAATGAGAGGGTGAGGAGTTGCTTTATATGTAAAATATGAGTTACATCCTGTTAGAGTTGAGGATATAGAACATTGAATCCATTTGGGTTTATATTAGTGGATATAAAGGGAAAAGGCTTTTAGTGGGAATTTGTTACAGACTGCCAGAAGATGAAATTTGTGAGAAACTTTACAGTGAGATTAAGAAGTAATAGTTATGGGTGATTTTAATTTCAGGCATATAGATTGGGAAATGATAGTCAAACCACGAGGGAGAAAGGTTTTTAGAAACTATTCAAGATGGTTTTCTTCACCAATTGGTAAGGAACCTACTAAAAGCAATGCTATTTTAGGTTTATTGTTAACTTCTAATATAGAAATGGTTGAGAGGGTAGAAATTGGGATGGTTTTCTTCACCAATTGGTGAAGGAACCTAATAAAAACAATGCTATTTTAGATTTATTGTTAACTTCTAATATATAAATGGTTGAGAGTGTAGAAATTGGGGAACATCTGGGTGCAAGTGATTCATTGCTCTATTAGGTTTGATATTTTGCTGCATTTGGAGATCAGGAATAATAATATTTTGGTTACAAATTTTAAGTGATGGGACAAGAATTATCCATTGTGAATTGGGCAGCTGAGTTATGTGGAGACACTGATCAGATGTGGAAATTTTTATAGATAAATTGTTAAATACTTAAGATACACATATTTCTTATAGAAAGAAAAGAGTGGCTGCAGGTAAAAAACCAGGTTGGTGCACAAAAGGTATAAGATATAAAAGTATAGAAAAGCATCACAAGTTTAAAAATTTAAATTGACTGGTGTTATGGGAGATTTAGAAGATTATAGAACAATAAAGTTGATCAAACAAGAAATTAGGACATCAGGAAAAGTTGGCTGAAAATGTAACATTAACAGTGAAGATTTCACTAAATACATTAAGGGTAAACAAAATGGTATGATAAGGGTAGGACCCTTGAGGGTTAATAAAAGAAATCTTGTATCTGATGGTTATGATATGGCTAGGTTATTAAATTCTACTTTTTCTTCAGTTTTTACTAATGAAGATTTAAGCAGTATTTCTCATCTTGAACAGTTGATAGATGGAAACAAGGTGGTTGTATTAATTTTGAGCTTCTTAAGAAAAAATTGGGAAATTTTAAGAAGGATAAGACTTCTGGGCCAGATAATATTTCCCCAGGGATTTTTGTGTGGCATTTCCCATGAATCCTTCTTATTTGATACACTGTCAATGGGATCTTGCCCCCTTTGTGTAGTCTGTTCTGACATATGTTTATTGGAAGTCCTCTTACTACTCTTGATTATTTTCAAGCATGACTTACTCGTGAATTTCTCATTATAGGTTCCCATTTTCTGATACCTTCTCTTGATCTAAATCTTTCCATTGATCCCCCCTCTCCAGAGCCTTTGGGTGTACACTTTTCTCAGGTATTCCATTCTCACATCATTCTGTTGGAACTTTGGTCTATTCAACACGATTGTTAGGATATCCTGCTCTTGTTACACCACCATTGTGTTTGAGTACTCCCAGACAATTTGACTGTGGTGAAATTTAGCAACAGGTAAGGGAGGAGGACTTGATCGTTGTCTTTGTTTGGTCCAATTTCTGTGCTTTTTTACTTACATTTACATGGTATTTTATTGGTTGTGACAGTAATTTATCATCTGCTGATGCTCTACTGGTTGCCAGCACTGGGTCCAGCCTATAGTAGTAGATGCTTTGAGACCAGCCTGGGAAAATGTTTTTCTCTACATTTACCCTCTTCTTCATCTTCTTTCTCAGGTATTGCCCAAGATCAGTTGTTTCCATTGACCTGTTATTCATATTGCTCCATGCTGGCCTGCTGTATCATGATTTTCACTCCTCTCTTCTATCTCAACGAGATCCAATTCCATTACTTTTTTGGTACACCTTCCACATTGTTATTTATTGTCTACAGTTTCACATCTGGCTATTATGTGGTCCTTTGTTACTGAAGCTGGCTTCTCTTCTTGGATAAGTTGAATGCTGTCATGTTTTTGCAGACCTTACTTCCTGGCAGTATACCATTCTCGTTAGTCTACCTTTAGGAGTTGGTATCTATGGAAATCAGTTTCTTGTCCTTTTCTAACACTTCAAAAGATCATTTTTTACATGTACTCCTTTCATGATCTGGGTTTGTTTGCTTCTATTGCAGGCTACAGAATTCATATGCCTCTGTTGGTCACACTTTTTCTGGTTATTTTTTTAGCTTTTTGATTATGTATCCCATGAGCACTTAGACATTGTGCTTAGTGGTATTTATGTCTGGTCTTAAGTTTTATGGCTTCTCCTGTTGAACCCTTTGTAACTTGTTCACTCTGCCATCTTTCTTTAAAGGCATTATTTATTTTGTTATTTGCTTGTAGAAGGAGACAGACAGTTTTGCCATTGATGTTTCTCATACTCTTCTTTTTTTATCCAGATAGACTCTGTTCTTATATCTTGATAGATCATTCCTATTAGAAAATTTACCAATTCGTATTACATCAAACTCTTTCATTTCAGTTTGAACCCTAAATTCATCCATTTTGTTTTTAATACTCCTAACATTAGAATACTCAGACTATAAAAAAATTGAGATCTATCCACCCTGAAGCTCAGATTTTAGAGGAACATCAACCAGAACCTTGCACTCTAGAAAAAGTACAATAGAAGCAGAAACTATTGTCAGTAGTATGATTTGTTAATAATGGAATGGTCCTTTAAGGCTCACTGCAAAATCAGCAAAGAAATTAATTTTATCAAAAACAATGGGGTGGGGCTAAATGTCAAAAATAACATGAAAAAACTTACCCTGAAACTTGGTTAGATTTGAAAATATTGATTATAGGAATTATTTTGAAATGCTAGATTAGTAGTTATTTAAAAGTGGTAGACTTAAGAAAAGGAATGAGATGTATCTTTATATAAAGGATGAACTTATCATGTTTGGATTGAAGACAAAAAATGGTAATCAAGAGGTTGAATCTGTATAGGTTACAATCATGGATTTGAAGGGTAGAAAGTGAGCTTTTAAACAACTATTCTTACATTGTTAAAATGGGGATTGGACCTTTAAATGATGTTAATGGCAAAGTTTTATAGGAATCATGTCAATATTAATTCCTTGGTGGTAAGTAGAAAGATAGAGGGATTAAAATTAGATGAAACTTCAAGACCAGACATGGTTTTCCCTAGATTTCTGAAGGAGGTCAGAAGCCTCTCTCCATTTTGACAAGTCAGTAGTTAGTGAGTTGGTACCTGAAGATTAGAGAGTTGCTAATATTACTCCTATTTTTCATAGCAGTGATTATAGTTGCCTTGGAAATTGTAGTTCAGTTTAGTTTTATTTCTGTGCTGGAGAAAATTCTTGAGAGCCTGATAAAAGAATTATGATATCTTAAAATAAACCGACATAAATTACAAAAGGGAAATCTTGCACTTCTGACCCTTTTTTTTTTCAAGGATGGTACTTGCCCTGGAAATTGTAGTTCAGTTTAGTTTTATTTCTGTACTGGGGAAAATTCTTGAGAGCCTGATAAAATAATTACGATATCTTAAAAGAAACCAACATAAATTACAAAAGGGAAATCATACTGAGATACTTCACTAGCAGAAATGATGCAGTTTGACTGAACTCCATTATAAGAATTTGTTCAGTTTCTGTCATCTAACCACCCTACAATTAAACTAACTAGGCTTTCCCCAGCCACTAACAATGGGTTTTCTTAGCTAATCTTCTGTATAGTAACTTATCAAGAGCTTCTTGAAAATCTAAGTGTAAGTGCACCAAGACTAAACCCTTTATATTATCCAGATAACAAGTACCATCCTTGAAAATAAAAAGGTCAGAAGTGAAACAGTGCTTGAGCCTTTACTTTTCCTAAATTACATAATGTGATATTAATAGGGGGCATAATTAATAAAATTTGCTTATGACATTAAACTCTTGGGTGTTTCTAGCTGTTTTAAGGATGTTGATGTATTACAGAATAGCTTAGATTACTTGTTAGGTAGGATAAATATAGCGTAATTTAGATCGCACATTTTATGTAACTGGGGATCCAAAGCTACTCAAGCCACTGAAGAGGTACTCTGTTGCTAGTGGTAGAGTTAATAGGATTATAGGGTGTATTTATAAGACATAGTGATTATAGTTTAAAATAAACAGTCATCTAAGATCTCTATTTACAAATCACTAGTTAGGCCTCATGTAGAATATTTTATACAGCCTAGATTTCTATTGAAGAAAGAATGTTGATTTATTGGAAAAATTTGAGAGGAGGGTTGATAGAATGAATCCATAGGTGGAAAGGTTATATTATAGGGATAGGTTATGATCTCTTAAAGAAGGATAAGAGGTGATTTTATTGAAATTTGTAACATTATCCAGGAGATTGATAAGATAAAGGCCTCTGATTTTGTTATGCTGTATTCTAATCACAATAGGATCAGAGGATGCAAGTTTAAGATTGGGAAAAGATGGCTAAGCTCAGATCAGGCACTTATTTTCCTAACAGGATGATTGGCTTATGGATTGGAATGAAGTGCTGTCAACAGTAGTAGAGGCTAGCACTTTACAAGCATTTAAGATGGGAATTGATGATTTCCTGAAAAATGAATGATCAGTTTAAGTTATTACTTTTCTCAAGAGTGGATGTGCAAGAACATCTTTGAAGGACTGAATTACCCAATGTTTTCCACATGTTATGTTATTTAGATGTAGAAATTTTCTAAATCTTACTGTAGTCTGAGCACTTTTTTGGACAAATATTTATAGTTTGAACATCTGAATGGAGGAAGTTGAAAGAAGTCTAGTATAATCTGAGATTTTGAGTACAACAAGTTGGTGGAATTCTTGAACCTACCTTGGATAGTTTAGGGTTGTAGTACAGAAAGTTAACTGGATCATTTACTTTGAACACCTAGTTAGAGGAAGCATATGTGGTCCTTTTATAATTTATATATATCAAGGTACAAGGAGTTTATGGGATAATTTCTAATGGAAATACTCGTGCTTATAAATTTGTCTCATTCTGTGTTTAGACACATTTGTTAACCTTAATTAATAAACATAACTTGTACAGCCATGTGACAAAAAAATGTTGAATGTGCTTGAAAAATACTCAGATTATTGAAAATAATTGAATATGAGACATGAATGTTTTATGCATGTATACAAGTAAGTGTTTGGGGTGTAAGTACACTTACACACAAACTTTATTTTTAAAATAATGTATGCACCTGTATTAAATGAAAGTTTATAACTCAGTTTTGTTTTTGTATTACTAATTCACTGAGAAAGAATTAACATTTTCAGAATCGATCAGAAATGGTAGATTTGACAGATCAGTCGCTACTTGTTGACATTTCGGATGCTCTGAGTGAAAGAGACAAAGTGAAGTTTACTGTACATACAAAGGTAACATCATAATCCTTAAGTACTTTTCTTATAGTTATTAACATGTATAATGAACTTGGAAATCATTCTATGAATTATGCATTTTATATTTAATTAGCAATGAATACATTAATCAAAGCTTTCTAGAGATCGCCATTTTCACTGTACTTCATCAATGGTTTGAAAATATTGAAAATAGAATCACAGAAATAAAATTAGATTTCTTTCGAGGGGCTGTTATTACTCAAAAACAGTGAAAATCAATTGCACATGCAGTCTCTATACCCCCCCCCCCAAAAAAAAAGGAAAATAAGGAGATTGTCATTTCTCGGATATTATTAATGAATATTAATAAATTAATATATCCAAACAATAACATCTTAAAATATTCACACACAACTGGTGAGAATCTGATTTCACACACATGCATTACAGCTGATCATTCATCATTGGTGAGTTTTTTTTTTTAAGTCACAGTGACAAGCAGGAATGCTTAGATTGGATCCCTAGAGTCCAGTCAAACTTCTGTGATTGGGCTAGTTCTCTGTACTGATGGATCAAATGTTTGCTTAAGTATCAAAGAAAGACATGCCAGGGTGTGGAGATAACTAATTTTTGTCATAATCTAATTCAAATGTATTGGATGCCCATGTTATCTTTCACACTAATTCCTAGATGCATAATGACAGATGTTCTAACAAACTGTTGTGTTAAGTGGCTTTTACATCAGAAATTGACTCTTAAGGTGCTTTTACATCCTAGCAAAAGAAGCTTAAGAATTCTTAGAAAAAAAGTTGAGTTATTGTTTTAGGGATTATAGTTCAGCCTTAATCAAATGTAATACCAGAGCTTAAAATATTTTGACCTGGCCAGACAAAATGTTTGCATGTTTGATTACTTAACAACACTACTTGAATGAGGTCTTGTAGATGTCTTAAATATTTGATGCTCACTAAGGCAAATCCACTGGACCTTATAAGACATGCCATGGCAATTTCCTTTGATACTCCAGTGTGGGGGAATGTCTGTTGGTTATGAAGGACTGAATGTAGCAAAACATAAGTGCTGCTACAATTTCACAAAGGTTTACCCCATTTGATGTTAACTCAATATTGGAGGTATAAAATCCAATATGTTACTCATCACCAAATCTTGCGCATTACTTGTGTTGAAGTATACAATATTTTTTTCATATTCCTCAAAATAACTGATCAACAATATATTCATAAGTGATTCAAAACTTCTGAAAAACATAATGGAATTTAATGTATTACACTTAATATCATGATCAAAAGCCTCAAACAGTTATTTATTTCTATATTATGTCAGTTTGAAATGAAAGTCATGTGATGATAATCTAGGTCTTTGCCAAACTAAAAATCATTTTGCCCACTTCTTAACAGATTAACTCTTTCATATGCAATATATCTAATTTTTTTTATTAAGTCTTAAGGTTTGTAAAGCAATGTTTCTTTCATGCCTTTTTTTTTTCACGTGTCGCCTATCTATCACGCAAAGTAATATTAATTTTAAAATTAAAAATACTTTTATGCATCAGAAAGTTTTGAAATTTAACATGCGAAATCTTTTTAATGTCGAGACAGTTATCAAACATTTCTTAAGAAAAAACTTTATATTTTATTTGTTATTTTCAGTAATTAATCTCTGTACGGGTTCAGTAAATTTGACCAATCTCGCAACCACCATAAAGAATTAGAAAATAAAAATAAATTATGCCTCCTTCATTCTAGAATGAACACAAATTGTAAAACAAAAACAAAAATATTTAGACGAAATAGCTTAAATCTCATAACATTATACATTTATATATATTTATTATTTTTATTATATATTGACCTTTTAGTTGTGCCTGGCTAATAATACAGAAGTTACAATGATGTGGCTCACGTGCACTCATGTTACCATATCAAATAACATAAAAGTGACCTTATTTTCAGGATATGTAGGATATGAAACAAAATTTTTTTAGGTTTTATATATATATATACAGTTGAATAAACCAAAAAATCGTAACTTACTATATCAATACCATAGAATTCTACTATAATTTATCAAGCTTAGTAACTAAGCTGTATTTCAGTTTAAAGAAATATGAAATTTTAAGCAGACTAAAGACACACCCTACCTCCTTGAAATCTTGGTTTGAAAGAAAGAGTTGGCATCCAAAGAATTTAAAATGGCTAAGAAAGCCACTAGGAGGACATTCTGAGCTTTTGATTGGTTATTGATGTCATATATAAAAGTAAGTGTATATAAGGGAATGTTTCCAAAAATGGAAAGAGGTGAGTGGGGTGCCACTGTGTTTGATTTATTA